CCCCCCCCCCCCCCCCCCCCCCCCCCCCCCCCCCCCCCCCCCCCCCCCCCCCCCCCCCCCCCTTTATTTTTTTTTTTTTTTTTTTTTTTTTTTTTTTTTCCCCGCGCCGACCCCGGCCCCCGCCCGCACTCCCGCGCCCACCCCCGCCCCAGCCATTTAACCCCCGGGGGGACCCCCGTGAGGGGAATATCCTCCTTACACGCTGTCGCCTTTCGGCTTCGAATGCTTTGAGAGGGGGGGTCCGTAGAGAGTTCCGGCATGGGGATGAAGGCGAGAAGGACGAAAGTGCAAAAGGCAGCGCGAAGCGGGACCAAGATTCAAACAAGGAGTAGGGGCGAAGCGCGAGGAAAGAGGGGATGGAAAATGGTTACGGATGACGGAGAGTAGGCCGGAAGAGGAGGATGAAGATGGCATGGGGCCTAGCGGGGAGCGGGGAAAGCTTGCATGCATGGTGCTGGTGCAGAAAAGAAAAAGGCACTGAAATAGTTACTTTCCATCCATTCTGGTTCTAAATCTACTTTAAGATCGAAAACAAATTCAAATGCGATATCAGCATGCCAAATTGAGCGTGTGAAAATCCTACGTCCACCCTGCTTACTACTGAAATTCACAAATCTTTCAAGGGTGAGTGCGGGAACATCCATTTTTCAAGGGTGAGTGCAGGGAGCATCCATTTGCAAGAAAAAACACGTCAGCAAAGAGAGCGCCCATAAGTCCCGGAATTTCCAACTGCCGAACAGACTTCCTAGCGCGCTCGCTAAGGCGCACGTAATTCCTACATAGATGCATGGATTACCGAAAGGAAATTGCAAAGAAATCCAAAACGTCGTCTTAGTCATGAGAGGGCCTGGTTGGCCGTGATTTCATGCACTGAGGAGATAGCAAAAAGAATGGATACCCAAAAAGAGCCCAGGAGAAATCCAAAGAGTCAGATCAACAAAAACTCATGGGTTCAGAAGATCGTTCAGGTATGGAAGCTGGTACGTCACATATGTGAGAGTAAGTGAGTGAGTGTGTGTGTATGAGACAGAGAGAGAGCCCTGCAGCTGCAGCATGTCAGTGGCGGGGAGCACAAGGGCAGGCGCTAACCTCGAAAAAAGAAAAGAAAAGGTAATGTTCTATTTGAATACAAGAGTTTTTTCTTTCGAAATTTGAATAGAAAAGATACGAGTTGTATTCGAATACAGCATGTACGTGGTCTATTCGAAGTGCGCTTCTATTCGAGAAAAGTGGACCCATGCCCTTTCGATTTTGAGATGTTCAACTCGAGGACCGCTGCCTCCACGGGCAGCTACCGGTCCTCCGCAAGCAAGAAACTGCCCATTCCCCGCCCCCCCCAGCAAATTCACCACACTTCCAAGTTCCAACTACCATTTGGAACCAAATGGACGACCAGTATGATCAAACGGTGAAAATTTGGCTCAGGAGTATAAAACATAACCCTGACAGGCTGCTAACATTACCTGATTGGTGCTTGATCTTGGAGGAGAAGAGGGAGAAAATCCTAATAGCAGGAGGGGGAAATGGTTATATACTTGTACTTGACCGGTAAGAGGAGGGGGAAATGGATTTGGAAGCGAAGGTAACCATGATCATGGAACAATTGCTTCATTCAGGAAACGGTTTCGGGAAAGGTTGCTATCAGACTGCATTGAAGAAGCTTGTAGTGACTGGGCACCAGTGAGAGTCTCCCGACTACAAACGGAAAAGGGGATGGCTTTTTCACTCATTGATTGTTGTGAAGCTTGCCGGTGACGAGTAACAGGACTGCAGGCCCCCAGAATAGATGGGGCGCCCGTGTGTGTGTGGGTTTGAAAAAGAAAAGCAACAAGGGCAGGACTCTCCCTAGGCCACCTGCAACCTTCAATCAATCTGATGACTCTTGCTCACACAGCGAAGAGGGTCAGACCTTCAGAGGATCGGCAGTGGAAGCTTTCTGGCAGCACACACACACCACAGGACTGCTTTTTAGAAGATTTACCACATCTTGATACCCGGGCACCAATTGCCTCCACGAGCGCAAGCTCCCAGTCCTGAACAGCAGCAGTTCCAGTGGGGGTTTCACCAACCAAGGAACTACTGTAAAATCCCAGTAGGCGAGGATGATCAGTGAAGGATCAAAACAATCGATGAATACAAAACCTTCACCCACCAAGTAACAGACTTTGGGAGGGTTCTATAGTGAATTTCATCGGTTTGTAACCAAGAACTCCTTACGTTCACATAGCAGTAGACCGCATTCTTGTTTACATTAGGGTACTCAGGGAGGCTACTCTGGCGCAGTTCGAGCAGAGGCAGGCGCCCAGGCGAAGACTGAGCGACGAGAAAGACAACATCATACACGTGTCACATGCCCAATGACCACCTGCATCAAGCAGGTCCTGAAAAAGAAATATGAATCATACTTTATCAAAAGGAGCGGGAGAGGAAGAAAACACAACAAACAATGATCATATACACGAATACGGCTTGCAAACATGGAAGTGATCATTCAATCATGCATCACCACGGTCATGCACGCGCGTCACTCGACACTCGCAACCAAGGCCATGGACCACGTATGAACTTAGATGCACCAACTCTGACAACTGAAACAAAACAGTGATTGATAAAAGATGAGATGCCAACTCTGACAACTGAAACAAACCAGTGATTGATAAAAGATGAGATGCCAACAATTATAACGAAAGCATGTGCACATCATCAGCTTCCAATAATCTGTCGAGCCGGTCTCACAACCGATGCACGGCTGCAAGTGCAGACACACACTCCTTCCTCCACTGCCGCTAAGTCCCCGAACGGCAACCGACCGATCCTACCGCGACTAGTTTAGCCCCCGTTGGCACTCCTCCCAGTCCATCGGGCATGATAAGCCTGTTCAGCGCTGCGACACACGCCCATAGTCCGTGCAGCATTGAAGCCAAGATCAAAGGGGAGGAGAGGAACAGGCTGCGCAAGTTTATAGTGTAAGGCAGTGGGGTGTCAGCGCAGAGAGTGGGGAAACAGGTATCCTATGTAGAGGAAAAGGCAAGGAAAGAGAAATCAAGAGAAGAGGGGATGGCAGGAAAATTCAAATTTTAGCAAAGGCTGACTCTATCAGCCTATGGGCTCGGTCACCATCCCTGTAGCTCAATCCGGCCGACTCAAATGCAATCAATCACCCGCGAGCATATCAAGTGGAAGACAAAGGGGTTGCAAAAAGAAGGCCAGGACGGAAAAGGAGAAGTTAGCATGAGGCGAGCGGAGCGGAAGCTAGCTCATGTGCATGCAAATTCAAACTGCCTACCCTCTCCAGCATAACCGACTGCATTTTGAAGCTTACAAAGAGAGAAAGAAAAGGAACTACCAACCTGCTTCTTCACGCAGGGCTTTGCCGATCCCCCACAGGTATTCAATTGCTCAAATGTCAAGGACAAGCATTGAATTATTACCCATGGATGCAAACGCAGAGATGAACCATCTGCCCCTCCCAATCATCTGCGGATAGAAATTTGTCGAGAACTTTGGGCCTGGATATGTTTTTCGGGCGGTTATGGGCCATGGATCATCACAGTAGTAATAGAGGAAGGAAGTAGGCCTAGGCTATGGATGTGAAGGGAGAAGAACCTCAAGCTGGGCTACGAAGGTATGCGGAACAGGTGAGTAGAGGTCGAGAGTGCGGAAGAAGAGGGGTACGGACAAAGAGACTTATCTTTGGCTATGTCATCTCCACTTCCTTGGTTGTCACTGCGTCGGGAAGGCCCCTGTTGGGGTACCAGTTCAACATGTACTTCATCCCAGAGTGTGGCTACGGCAGAATGAGAAGGGAGGGCCCTGATATTCCGTTGAACATCCTTGCTGGACATGTATGAGCCACCATAGCTAAATATGCAACGGTGAAGAGGGGAGTGAGAGTGAGGCATAAAGGAGAAATCTATTCGCATATTGACACTTGCTCATTCGTTCATTTATGATTGTATTCAATTAGACATAAGATTAGTTTATGTGAGGGAGATTTTCTGGCCAGAGGAGGAGATGACATTGGTTCAATTTTGTGTAGTTCTTCTTCTTCCTCTTTCCCTCTCCATTCTTTTTCTTTCCTAGTCTAGTTGGCCTTCTTCTTGACTTGCCAAATATTGCATTGTCTCAGAGTTCAGTCTTGCACTGTGAATTGATAAGGTTCATAACCCATCCCCAGAAAGTCTGATCAGCTCAGTGTAGGGCAAATCACAACTGTTTCCTCTACTGAAGTAACAAATATACCAGTTCCTTCAACTTTCGTACGTAACGAACAAACCGTTTTCTTTTTTCATTTTTCTTGGACTCTTCTGGATTAAAAAAAAAAAAAAAAAAAAAAAAAAAAAGCACTCTTCTGCCATTGAGTGCCTAGCCTGAGGCACTCAGGCAGATGCCAAACACCCTCCGGTATGGGTACCAGCCTCGCGGCCTTCTTTTTTGCACTTTTTTCCGTTTTACTTTTTTTTCGACGGGCGCACGTGCATGGCTTTCTTGGTATACGCGTGGGAAAATCGAGAGTCCACAAGTGAAGAAGTGCCACATGTGGCGGCGGGGTGACCGTGCCAAGAGAAAGAGAGAGAGAGAGAGAGAGAGAGAGAGAGAGAGAGAGCTCAAGGGCCATGCTACGAACTTCTGCATTTCTGACTGCTACGTTCGTTTTAGAACGGATCTGGCCACATTTATTGGTCACAGTCAGTCAAACCAATGTGCCGCAAACACGTCCCCCCGCCCGTCCCAACATGGCCCGAGCACAGACACACACACAGAGAGAGAGAGAGAGAGAGAGAGAGAGAGAGAGAGAGAGAGAGAGAGACTGGGAATGACGCCCTGCCGTGTGGCGCGGCCAGATTTTTCCTCACTGTGCCCACCTGCCACGAATCTGGTCGCGACACACGGCAGCGCCACACGCAGCGCTGTCACGCACCGTCTCTCTCTCTCTCTCTCTCTCTCTCTCTCTCTCTCTCTCTCTCTCTCTCTGTGTGTGTGTGTGTGTGTGTGTGTGTGTGTGTGTGCAGACAGTGGTTCTCGCTCTGGGTCCAATCTGACTACTGTTCTGGCAGCAACTACTGCGTCCTACCATCTACTGCTGCTGTTGCTTTCGCTGAGAGGTCAAACTCCCCACCATGCACCTAGACTCCAGCCACTCGAAAATGTCCCGGAAGACCATCGCCACGTTGTCCTCTGGCTCTCCTGTTGTCAGTGCATGCCACATTCCTGGGTACACCTTGAACGTCTTGTCGACACTCTTGGCCACCTCGTACAGCGCCTGCGACACCGCGGGATCCGTTACGGCATCCGCCTCTCCGTGGAGCAGGAGGAAGGGGATGGTCACCTCCTCCAGGCGAGCTTCCAGATCCGTGCTCACTTTCAACATCTGCAGTGCTGTTCCCAAACGCGGTCTGTCCTTATAATTGTACGCATTCGATCGCACCAACTCTCGTCTGGCTGGCTCCTTGATAGAACTATCGACGAGGTCTTTGATCGGCACAATCTGCCACCTGGGAGCGAAAGCCGCCACCATCGTTAAGACACGTGTCACGATCGCGGGAGGCTTCATCTTCTCCGATATCTTACACATCGGCGCCACGAGAATGGCTCCGTTCCACACTCCAGGCTCCTTCCGATGTATCAGCAGACAAGTTGCGCCCCCCATCGACTCCCCGTACAGGAACCTTGCCTTCTTCTTGAACTCCGCTTTCTCCCTCACTGTCTTGAAATAGTCCACGCAATCCCCTACCATCTTCTCTGCATCTGGTATGAAACCTCGGAGGCCCTCCGAGCGGCCATGGCCTTCAACATCCACCCCGAAAACCCCATATCCGGCAGTCGCAAACCGCAACGCAGTTTCGCCCATGGATACGGAGCACTCTCCACCATAGCCATGGCAGAAGAAGAGAAGCGCCTTCAGCTCTTTTCCCGAAGGAAGCCATGTCGATGTGAACAGGGACATTCCCCGGGTGTTCTTGAAAACACCCTCGTCGTAATCCACACCTTTCTCGAGGTACTCCGGTTTGCTCAATCCACCAACTCCCCGCTCCATGGTTTCAGCAAGGACAAAACAGGACGATTTCTTTTTTTCTTTTTCCGGGGAAAACCAGGACGATTTCCTTGACCCTATGCGCGGGAAAAAGTTCAGGACGATTTTCTTGACCCTATGCGCGGGAAAAAGTTAAGGAAAAAGTGAAGGGCAAAACAGGACGATTTCTTCTTTTTTTTTTCGGGGGGAAAGCAGGACGATTTCCTTGACCCTATGGCGGGAAAAAGTTTCGATCTCCTCACCGACCGTGACGAAGGAAAAAAACAGCGACCATAGGACCAGCAAGGGTCAGACCGCCGATCTGAACCTTGAGCACTTAATTGGAGGCCAGCAAGGGTGGCCGAGGGGGGTTATGGGAGCAGGGCGGCGACCAGCAAGAAGACGCGGACAGAGTTCGAACCATGGCCGCTCACGCTCGACAGCACCTGTTATACTTTTCAGACTTTAAGGAAAATGCAGCGCGCCTCCTCCAGCACTGGAGGTGAGCGCGGGAGGTGTGACCGCTGAGGCACGACGTCACGGCAAGCAGCGGCCGGCATGGCTCCGCAGGCAGCGGCGATGACGGCGAAAGACTGACAGCAGCGCAAAGGCGAGTGTGGTGGTAATACTCTCTTCTTCGGCTAGAATCGCTTCTCGCTGCACGGTAGATTGTCCGTTTTCCGCCGCCTGTGTAATTGCGCACGCTATTTCTCGATTTATGCGTGTCATCATCCTTGCGCAGGGGCCATGCTAATCTTCTCTCTCTGTATCGTTCCAACTTCTTCTTTTTTCTTTTTTTTTTATCGTTCCACCCGAAGGACTAATTGCGCAGGCTATCGAGATCGAGTCAGCGATGTTGTCCTGACGCATTCAGCACGTCACGTACGACTGGAGTCCCCGATGTCGCACTGCGACAGTTGCTGAGGCGGACACCGAGCTTATTTATTCTGCACGCTACCTTGCGTAAACTGTATAGACGACCGCCTTCCCCCCACCCCAATAGAACGAAGGCTATGGGCCTCGCTCCACCACTCTCCACCACTCACGAAATGTGCAAAATGAGCATGTATCTTCCGCTAGAACATGGAAAGATACGTCTCCACCACTCTCCTCCACTCACGAAATGTGCAAAATGAGCATGTATCTTCCGGTAGAACAATGAAAGATACGCCGCCATAAATAATATTTGTCCTTTGTATATGTGGTGAGTATTGGAGCCAGGCCCTATAGCGGAAGTGTAAGTGCTGTTCCCCAAATAAACACAGCTCTAATGACCGGGGGTTCTATTCGGGGGCAGTCCGCAGGAGGCGCGTCAAGGGACGGTCCTCGTGAATCCAACGATTCATGGACCTCAATTCCACATGAGACACCCCCAAAACCATTTGGGTGCAGAAAATAGGGCGGCATGGTTCGAGCCCCGAACCAGAAAGACCTAAGCCGCCACCTCCCCCAACCGCCCTTGCCTGGGGATGCCCGTTCTCGGGCGCCAAACGAAGGTAATTCATCAGACCCGCGGCCTCGCTGCACTACTCTCGACATGCACAAAGAACAAAAATCATGGCCGTGCATCTTTCCATATTCTAGGGGAAGATTCACTCTCGTTTTGCACATTTCGAGAGTAGTGGAGCGAGGCCCTTCGTCTGCGTGAGAATTCCGTCACCGCTGAGCACAGAGGTGACGGTTGCAACAGACCGCGTCCGGGACATGAAGTTGTTTTTTTTTTGTTTTTGTTTTTTTCGGGGGAGGACATGACGTTGTATGACGGGAGTCGTGGAGCGAGGCCCAAGGCCGCATGCAGAACTGACCGATTGTCAGCCGTTCAGATATACAGCCGGAGCGAGGCCCAAGGCCGCATGCAGAACTGACCGATTGTCAGCCGTTCAGATATACAGCCTTGCGGCGCAACTCACAACTATGCAAAATACCAGGCGACTCATCGGAGAGTTTTCTGGGAGTGCAAGTGTCAACGTCCGACTGCGGAGACCTACAAGATCAATTGCTGGAGCAGAAGGTATTGTTTCGTATTGCCAGCTGGAATAGGCCTTATTACCATTGCCTTTTTGGCCGTGCATTATTGATCTCAGCCTCAGCATTCTCTGTTCTTTGGTATGTTCTGGCAGTCCACCTTATGAGCGATGCGGCACACAACCGCATCAGAGCAAGAGCAAGGAAACTTATTTGGAAACCAGAAGCAGGCGAAGATGAAGGCTGCCTGAGCAAGGTGGCCTGGGATATCATTGCTCCGCCAAGAAATGAAGGGGGTTTGGCATTGCTAGACCCCAAATTGCAGAACATTGCATCCCTGGCAAAATGGCCAATCAAGGCTGCTTTAGTGCCACAAGATAGGTTCTGGGTCCAGTTTGGGGAATACCTCCTGGGAAACGAGTGGAATCTGTCCAATCACGCAGATGTCTGGTCCTGTTTTCTCTGCGAGTCCTTTGTGAACAGACGGCCAAAGTCTGTTTTTTGGAGATCAGTTTTACTGGCTTGGAAACAGATTAGACCGCCTTATTACTTAGAACCCCAGACACTCACGGAAGTCTTGAATGAGAGTCTTTTCGACAACCCTTACATTGTGGACATGAATGGCCTACCTTTCTCTGCAGCAGAAGGCCAAGGTCTGTTCGGAAGGCGTTGGATGGAGAGGGGAATCTTCAGAGTGCGGGATATTAGGAAATCAGATAATTCGGACTGGATAACTGAGGATGAGTTGAGAAGGAGATTCCCCTATCTACGGGGGAGACACGAGAAATTGCAATCTCTAATCGAGGCCATCCCGCAACATTGGAAATCCTGCTCGACCAGAATGATTTGTTGCAAGAAGGAAGCTGGTATATCTCCAAGGAGCACTCATTGGAGTCCAAGGTCTGCAAATTTCTGGGAAAAGATGTTGCGGGCAGGGCGATCCTTCAACTGTGGACCCACGAGCCCTCGTGGGAGGATGCAATTCCACTGAGATTTGATAATGAGGGCACCTTCTCCTCAATACCAGAGCTTGTTCAATGCGTGGTAGATGAGAACACGGACTGTTATAATGTGTCCCACCCGAGATTGTGCATGGCAGGGCGACCAGCATCGGAGGTCAAGCTACACCCCCTCCGCTGGAGTTGGACGGTAAAGTCTGCTCAGACCACAGTTAATCTGCGGTTACAGCATTACACGCCAAAGTGGGAAGTTTGTATACTCAGACAAAATCGAGTCCGCAAACCTCTTCATGCAGTCAGGACAGCCAGGACTGACCAGGCGCTGAGGAGCTATACTGAAGAAGAACACGTGGCATTATGGAAATTGATGCAGAAGCTCCCGTCTCAGCGTCAGGCCAGTATCCTATGGACTCAATCGTTATTGGCGATCCCCTCTGCAGCATTTCTAGCAGGCAGGGGGATGGATGTCCCACTCAGCTGCGCTCGGTGCAAGTGGGCATGGGAAACCACCCACCACTTGTGGTTGGATTGTCCCTTCTCCAAACGCATCTGGAGTTGGTGGCGGAAGCATTGGAAGAACCTTAATTTTTCTAACATGGAATAGTCGGATGACTACATTTTTTATGGTATTCCAGAAAAGTCGGCAGCAGCGGACACGGCGGTCATCTACCTGGCTCAAGTGTTTAGAGCAGTCCTGCTCCTGCTAATCTGGGAAGAAAGAAATAACCATGTCTTTCGTCAGGAACGGATTCCGGGCACAGTTTTGAAGACCCAGATCAAAGCCCGCTTCAGGCAATGCATATGGGCGGATTGGCACAGAAAGGCAAAGTCAGGCTCCTCTAAGGCAGGAACGATCTGGTTCTGGAAAACTTGGGGCTACAAAGGAAAGCTGGTGTCACCGGATGCGAAGGGCAACCCGTCGGTCACTACTTGGTTAACTCTGGGGCCGTTGTAGGCCCAACATGGCTTTTGTCTAATATGTGCAGTTTGCACTGGGCTAGATTCTCTAGATAGGCCAAACAGAGCAGTTTCCTTAAAAGCTGGTCCTGGGGTTGCTCCATTGGCCGCTTAGTTAAGCTTGGGTTTAAAATTTGAATTTGCCAGAATGGGCTGCTGGACTCGGGATATACGGGTTCAGCCCTCCCTTTTCTTACATGAGCTTCAAGATGCACTTTGGAAAGTTTTAGCAGCAAGGGACGCTGGACCCGGTTTCCAGCACTAATACTGATAGATCTTTAGTAGCTGGAGACTTAGTCGAGCCTGGGCTCGTAAGCGAAACTGGCTGATGCTGCCAGGATAACTCCAGGTCGAATTGTGAGGTCCCCGGCCTCGTTGCAATGGTTGGTAATAAATCTGTGAGAACTTTCCAAAAGAAAAAAAAAAAAAAAAAAACTATGCAAAAGATATAAGCTATGGGCGTGGAGAGTACGTGTCTGGGCAAGCTTGGTGTTCTACCAGCTAGAGATAACCCATTGGCCCCCGAAGTCAGCATTGGCAGGACCTTGGCTGATGTTGTTGGTTGCTATGCAGCCACAATATTGGCCATTAGACACCACCATGTGGGTTGGGCGGGGGTAGGGGGAGGTGCAGTGACTGGCCATACCCGGCACTAGCACCGCCGATTTCCCCCATCGGCAATGCCTCCCCACCCCTCATCACCGTGATGAGGGACTGGTACAGCCTTGCTCTTGCACCACTGCTGTGGTGCCAACCTACCCCGTGGGCTAGGGAGAGATCCGGGGTGGTTGGTGTTCCCCGGTACTATGCATAGACTAGCCAGAGGATGAGATAGATGCATACTGCCAAGAAGATGAGATATGTGATAGAAAAGTATAGCTTAATTTGGAAAAAAAAAAAAAGAATAACGAAAACTGGTGGTGAGTAGCATCATGGTTGCACTTAGGGCCTCGCCACACCTATCTTAAACCACCAGTACTTGGCCCAGCTATCGGCCGCGGAAAAAAAATAGAGTCGAAACGTTTCTTGTTGGATGAATTTGGGCGCTCCTGTAGTAGCCCGTACGTTTCCTAAAATTGCGTAGCATTAACGCTACGCGACTGTAGGAAGTACTGGTAGTTTAAAAACGGGTTTTTGAGAGGAGAAGCATCGCCACACCTACTCTCGAAAACCAGTGTCAGAAAGAAATTGGAAAGCGGTCAGAATGTGGGTCGCGGGAGGCCTCTAGAACTCCCGTGACCCTATAACTTTTCAGGAGTGCCCGCCTGCAAAGCAGCCCTTTTCGAGAGAGGTCCGAGGAGCACCCGATTTCGACCCGAAAGTCAAGAGTGTGCCGCGACCGACCACCTCCTGCAGCCTCGCACTTGTTGTGTACGGTTGGAGAGCACTTCTGAACCGTGGAGGTGGTTTTGGGCCATGTGGCTGCGTTCAGGGCAACTTGGTATCGCCACACTGTGCTCACAAAAACTGCAAAAATCCCGGGTCTCCTCTGACACATTAGAGAGTGCCACTCTCGAGAGAGC